TATATATATGAATGAGAATCTCTACAATATCCATATAAATTTAATAGATTTTAAAACTGTCAATTTTTAAAATAATAATAATTATAAAAAAAATTATCATGTTATAATTTGACACAAATAGAAGTATTGTGAGCATTTAAAATTAATGAACAAACAAAATAAAAGTTAGATTCCTCATCTTTTATTAAATCAAATTAGTATTATAAACATTTTTTCACTTCACATTTCATAAGTCGTAAAATTGTATTTTCACACTTCTATTAAATAACTAATATATACAAGAAAGTGGTTAAAATATGAAAAGAAAATCGTATAAATATAAAATATGTAATTTAATAACAAAAACACCTCGATTTATGAGAATATAATAACACCATCCATATATATATATATATATATTAAAGTATGGTCATCATAGAACTCACTTTACAGAAATATTTAACTAAAATTTGAAAATGTTTGGACACGACTTCCGTAAAACCTTGACTACGTACTATTACTTAATCCATATATAATATCATTATGCCCAAAGCAAAACACTAGTATATCAGAAAACCCTTGGAACCACTTCCTAATCGCAGATACTCACGCTCATTTCTTTCCAAACCAAATTCAATAACCATGAAACGAGTGTACCATCTATAGTTCATGTTTATTCTTTGCACGCTAAGCGCCATCTTCATCTCCTCTGAGGTCAGGACACTGTCCAATATTAATTACGAGCCTGGATTTTTGGCAGTTTCTTCAAGCTCTGCACTGTGGAGTTGATAAGCCACAAAGTGACGAACATTTCAACCACCAAAAATAATATTCGGATTTAGCTTGTCATCAAGTTGAAAACAAGATAATCTATTCTAGATGATGTATTCAACTTTTCCATATTAAATATGCTACCTATACAATCATTTCAAAGCTCCACTAACCTAAAGTTGGTCTCAGTGAATCATTCAGAAGACAAGAACTCTCAAACACATAAATTTTATTAAAAAACGGCAGACTTTATACATTATTGGTTTAAATTAAAGGAAAAGAAACAGCACAAAACAAGTAAAAAAAATTAACAATAAGCAAAAGTTACAAGTAATGGACACACCTCACAATAACTCATCACGTACGAGTCCTTTCTCTCCGGTGCACATCACACACCCTGACCCTACCCGAAATATAGAAAAGAGATGTACATTGTTTTATTCTATTAATAAATAAATACACGTAAATAAAAAAAAATATATATATATATATATAAAACTTCTAGGTAGGGTGCGTGGTAGAGGATCGATCAGAATGAGGAGGCTTTAGTGAGTGAGTTGATGGTAACGTCGGGTCCCAAAACCACGGGTTTATAGTGGAAGGTAAACGTGTCATAGCGCAAGAAGAATTCCACCAAGTAGAGCCTGCACAAGAGCAGCACCAGATTCTTGGCGGGACACTGTTTATTATCGGGTGTGGGGTCGTCCGTCTCGCGTCCATTGGACCACAACACGTGTCGCAAAAGGTTTTCCCCGTCACGCCCAACGAACCTATCGGGAACAAAGTCCTCGGGATTGTGGAAGATCTTGGGATCCTTGGTAGCGAAGGGCTGATATCCAAAGATCATTTCACCTTTCTTGATCTGGTAGGCCGCATCGTGGCTCTGCACCACCAGATCCTCCCTCGCCCTCGCGTACTGGTAGGGAACCGCAGGCTCTATCCTCAGCGCCTCGTACACAACGGACTTGGTCAAAGTCATCTTATCCAACGCTCCCAGACTCACCCCGCCTTCCTCCCTAACAACGCTCCTGATCTCCTCCGCAAGCTCCTTATGCAAATCTCCACCGCCCAATCCGATCCACTTAATTAAAATCGGAAACTGGTTCACCAACCCTCCTTGCGCGTTGAACCCTAACATGAAAACAAGGTTGTGGCACGCTTCTTCGCGCTTAATCCCCGCGCGTTCCGCTTCCTCCAGAATCGATGCACCCGCCGAGGAGAACCCTTCGTACAGTTTCTTGTAGCTTGATTTCACTGTCCACGACGGGATTGGAATTGTTCTGATTAACAAATCTTCGACGTAGTTCAGGATTCTCGGTAACCCTAGCGTCGCCAGTGGAGCAAGCTGCGCCGCCAGCCAGGTTTGGACGAGGCTGGGCCCGTCGGAGCCGATTTTGGTGTCGGCGGGGGATTTGTCCGTGAGGAGGCGGAAGAGGAAGTTGAAGACGGCGTCGCCGATGGAGGAGTTGAAGCTCGCCTTGCCGGACTTTCCGGCGAGCTTGTCTTCGAGGTCGGAGAAATGGTCGGAGAGGTTGTTGCGGAAGAGGGGGAGGAAGGTGTCGTGCTTGGAGGCGAGGAAGGTGAGGTAGAAGCGCTTGAGGAGCGCGTGGGAGGGTTCGGTGGTGTCCTGAAAAGCACAGGTGCGGTAGCCGCCGGTGAAGGAGGTGGAGGGCATGAAGGTGCCGTCGAGGACGTCGCGCTTATCGACTTTGGCGTTGTCGAAGAGGACGGAGAAGGAGAGGCCGTCGAGGAGCGCGATGACTCTAGGGTTAGAGGAAATGAAGGGTCCAGGTGGCATGTTGGTTCTGATGACGGTGGAGTTGTACTTTTGGATTCTGGTGGCGAAGTATTTGTCGCGGCCTTGGTGGTAGAAGTAGTCGTGTCTATCGCTCATGGCTCCGAAGAACGGGAGGCCATAGCTTCCGGGGATTGGCTTGAGGGGAAGGTTTTTGTCGGAAGAAGCCATGGATGATTATTCAACTCTCAACTCTTTCAGTGTTTCTTGTTTGTGGCGGGGTGGGACTTGGGAATGAATAAAAGAGGTGTTTTTGGAATTGTTTAAGTGAAGGAGTGAGGTGCGTGCGCAACGTGCAGTGTGAAAACTATAAAATACAATATATTACAACAATGGCGGGCTCTGTTAATTTATTGGTTCATTCATTGTGGTTTGTTTCTCCACCCTAACGTTGTACTGTTCAATGGATGCTTGCATTGCACATTGCTTCATTGACTGTTGTCGTAATTTAATTAATTAATACTAACGTATGTATAAAATGTCACGTCACGTGCCATCCAAACCAATCCATACATATTACATACATTCTCCTGCTTCCTTCCCTCTTTTGTCCAATAATGTTTCTTCTCATTGGATTCACACCAACTTGTTTTCTAACCAGTAATCCCAAGTGTATTCTATTTATAAAAATTAAATTTTCTTTTCTTTTTTCTAAAATTTATTACTCATGAATAGTGTGTAATGAATTAAAGCAAAGCGCTGTAATTAATTTGATTTTTCAACATTTTGACTTGATTATTCTATCGCTAGATTACTTTATACTTTTTTATTAGAATTCTCAAATATAAGAATAAGAAAAGTAATTCCGTGACCTTAAGGGCCATACGCCGCAGAACTCAGAATGAAGAGATAAATTCAACAAAAAATTATATATATATATATATATATATTTTAACTTTTTAAAAATTTTATTTTTAGCCCCCCTTAAATATTTTTGTTATTTTTTAGTCTTTCATTAATTTTTTATCACATAAATTACTTGTTAGGACTGAATCTCTTATATTAAATGATAATGTGTGTCACTAAATTATGGCTGACTTAACTATTAATGTTCACGTAATTACCAAGTAAATATCAAACTATATAATATGCATAATTTTATTATTTATTTATGGTCATACTGGTCATCATTTAATATAGGAGATTTAAGAACTAATTTATATAACAGAAAATTAATATAGAACTAAAAGTTGACAAAAAAAAATTGAGAGAAACTAAAAATTTCATTTTTAAAAGGTTGAAGGATTAAACATTTTCTTTTGTTGAATTTTCAGAACTTATTTAATTAACTCTAATGAATAGGATGATTGATAAGTAAGAAGATAGAAAAACTAAATGTGAGATGAGACAAAGAAAACGGCAGATATTGTAAACATTATTAAAAAGTCATGGATTACATACTTAGATATATAATAAAAAAAATAATTACATAGTTCTTAATTAGTTAGATATGTTAACAAAAAAAAATCAATTAGATATTTAATAAGTTTTATTATTTTTTATAGATTAGAAAATTTAAATATATATTTTACAGTGATTAGCTAAAACACTAGATGTTTAGTATTCTTAAACTACTTAATAATTTCTCATGACATAGAAGTTTTCACTTTTTGCCCGTAAAACGTGTGCAAGGCTAATTAACGTTAACTCGTGTTCATTGTAGAAATAAAGGTGTTTGTTGGAACACGTGACAAATTATTCAAAACGAAACACGTCTCTTCAACATCAATAATTGAAATGAATAGATATTTCATAAACTTCAACAGTTTTAAGTTTTAAGGAAAAGATATTTGATGATGAATTTAATACAAGAGAGTGGTGTTTAAAACATTATAAATGAAGGTTGAAATTATTGTTAAAAGAGATACTCATGGCACTTGTGTGAAGGAAACTGGCTTGCTAGATATGACGCTATGCTATGCATGAATACACTTTTCTTTTACTCTTCTCCTTTAACTCCCTTAATTAGTAGCTAACACACTTCAGGAGCATAATTAACTTTCTATCTTTCTTTCTGATGTAGCCAACACCATTGAAAATAATTTGCATCCAATGGAAGAAAAAAGTGCTTTGTTGTGGAAAATATATTCTACGACTCTAAAAGCAAATTATGGTAGAATTTGATGCAGCTGGATATATATCTATTTTGTTTTTTTATGATTTACACAGTGCACGTAGATACATTCATGCACTCTACATCAAAAGCACATCGTAATCTTATTAATAGTAACCAGAACAATAATAATGTGACGGGAGAAACAAAAGGAATATAGGGGAAAACGGGGAAAAGAAGATGAAATATTTGTCAAAATGTTTCAAAGTTTAAATTGTCAACTATTCCTTTCGTAGTATTTGTAATTTTGTCTTATTAATAAATGTTAATAAATAATTCTTAATTCTAAAATAAATATAAAAAAGACAATAAAATTATTTGATCGTAAATACAATCACGTCTTAAATATGATTTTAATCTTTATAACATAAACAATTCTTTATTATGGTCTTATAAGAAACATTCTTTATTTTTAGTTCTTCTAAAATTCAAAACTTTTGTTTTTAGTTCACATTTTTAATTGTTTGTTTATCCATTAAAAGGTTAAACGATTATCTTAAATATTATCTATAATTGTTAGTCATGTCATATGAGTGTTTGATGTCTCTAAAAAAAATTAAAAATCTTTAAAATAAATATTATTTATATATTTAAAAATTATCATTATGAACAAAAAGTTATTTTAGATTTTAAAGGAAAGAAAGGAAACAAAAAAAATATTTAATAAGAATCAAAACCAAATTTACTCATTTTACAAAAACAAAAAATATTTTATAATTAATAATTAAAAATGAAATTTACAAATTTTAGAAGAATAAAAAAATAAAGAAAAAATTTTACAGAACCAAAACACGTTGATTTTTTAGAGAATAAAAAATATTTAAATCTATAATTTTTTTTATAACTTTTAAAACAATATATTTACGGAAAAAAAAACCTATTAGAAAGGAAAATAAATAATATTTACCCTAAACTTTATTATAAGGTACATTTTATAAAGAATTGTTGGTCATTTTTATAAGGCTATTTATAATTTCTATAAAGAATTAGTTTTATTTTCATTTTTTATCTCTATTAAAGATTGTGAGAATGTGTATTTCTCTTTTCTCACTATTTATACTAATATATTTCTAATTAAAATATGTTCTTTTAATTTGTTATAAATCTTTTTTTAAAAAAAATTCACTTTAATTGATAAAATATATGTGGTATTAATTAAGAAAGAGAAGTAATAACGATAATTTTATTAAAAATATAAATTAGATAAATTTATTATTATCAAATAAATTAACAATTTTTCTTAATCTCGGTAAATTAGGTAATTGAATCTTATATACAAAAATGATGTAATATCATTTTTATTGGTATTGGTACATAAAAATTTATATACAATAATATCTTCACCAATCTCATAGAAATTTAATAATAAATAAGAATGATAAAATTGATAAATCATAATTTTATTTTATAAATTTAATAAAATCAATTAACATAATTATTGAATTTATAAAATAAAATAATTTTTTTTAAAATTCATTGAATTTATTTGATTAAAAATAATTTATAATAAGGATGAAAAGCAGTAATTAAATATTTTACTAAAAAAAATAATCATCTTCAAACCTTAGTTTGGAGAATGCAAACAGAGTTTGATAAAAATGGTTGAGTTGTATTAAACAAAATTTTGAGTCACACTATAAATAGTTATTTATCGTTAACATTCGACTCAAACTATGGTTTGAAAATTATAAATCAAACAGATTATATATTATTTTTAGCAAATTTTGGTAGGTGTGTAATAAAAAACTTAAATCAAACCAAAGTTACCAAACATTAATTCATACCAAAGTATATTTAAAAATAAAATAATACTACTTTATTCCTAATTATAACTTACAAAAAAATAATTTTTTTAATATTAAGTAATAATTATTAATTTTTAAAATTATATATCAATATATCTCTTTTGTATCAATTTACTTTTAACTATTTTTTAATTATAATTTATAAGTAACAAATTATTTATTTTTTACTTTAATTATAAATAACAATTATTAATTTTTAAAGTTACTTACGAATAAATTTCTATTTTACCTTCACTTATAATTATTATTAAATATAACAATCACTTAAAGTAAAGATATCTTAAAAATAATATTTGAATTTTGTAGTGTAATGATTTATTAAAAGTAACTAACTTAATTACTTTTCTTAGATGATTTGTTTTATGATACTTATAATTAAGATTGAACGTAGTATAAGATATTTCAAAAGAAAATTAATATACTTATTAACAAATGATTTGATTAACTATTTTTTAAAAGACAAATATTGGTTTAAAGATAAATTTAATCTTTTTAAAAACTTAAGTTGGTTTTTAGGCCTTTTATTCCAATTTTAAGTAGAATTAAAATTGATTGTGTTTTAATAAACAGTTTTTGTTGAAAATTTGACCCGAACAAGTTTAAATTTGGCTTTGGGACAAATTTTTCATAAACATTATAGTAAGAGTGTGCATATATACCCTCTTATTTTAATTAAATTATTAATATATTAAAAATATTTTATTTTATGCTTCTAATTTTATATATTTTATATATTAAATCACTGATCATTATTTTAAGTATTTGTGTTTCATTTTTTTTATATATAATGATGATTATTATAAATTTTTATTTTTTAAAAAAATATTTCACCAATATAGATTCTTGTATCCATCATTGAATTTAATCATAATAAAGCAAGTTTTAATAGAGTTCACAAGATGAACTATTTTAAGCGAGTTAGTTTATATATATATATATATATATTATGAAAATAAGATTTAAACTTTAAATTAGTATTGAATACATGCATGTTTTTTTACTTTATTTGAAAATGGTTTAATTTAGACTAAGAGCATATTTAATAGGAATTGTTTATAAATAATCTTCTGTACCACATCACTGTCAAATCAGTTCTGGCTCATTTTATGAATTGTTTAAAATTTAAGCAACTCTGCTAAAATTTAAGCAACCCATAAAGTGAAGCAGAGCTGATGTGATACTCTAAGCTCGCAAAACTCTGAATATATTTTTTTAAAAAAATGGTTTTTACGTAACTTGAGGTGCATTACAATTACCTAAATAGAATACGAACTTTTTTTTACTCAACTCTTTATAATTTGTAACTCATATCATGTCAGACTATGATTAGAAGAAAAAGAGTTTAGTTTGGAAAATAAAAGTTTGATTATTTAAATTATTCATAAAGCGTCTGACAGAAAAACACATACCTAACAGGTAATTATGAGTTGAAGTATAGCATACTTATATTCACTCCAAACAATGGATAATACAATACTCTCTAC